GAGTGCAAAGGAATAAAGCCAATAAAAACTTTGGTAAGAAACTTCTCTGCATATTTATGATTCCTTTGCAATGGGGAGTTCCAGGGACCCCTAAATCCTTGCCAACAAACCTTGGGAGAGCAAAATGTACTTTTTAAAAATAAATGAACTCCCTGGCATTTGGGACCGAACCTCGTTGCTCTCTTTTATGCCCAACCAGCAAACTGGGACGCGATGAAGAGAGCAAGGCCCCCACGCCCGATGCCTCATCCCAGCTCAGGCAAAAAAAAAACAACCTCTGTCTACGAAGATGATGAGGGATACCCAGATCACCCACAGTTCCCAAAAGGCAGAGAGTTATCGGGGTTTAGTTCATCCTGCAACACACCTGGGAATCCCAACCATCCCTTTATTTGAGCACCTGGCATTTGAATAAATGTGCCCCAAAAATTACCGGAATGGACAGAACGAGAAAAACAAAGTGAGAAAAACACCACCAGCTCCCGCACAGGATGCGTCCCAAGGTGGACTTCCTCCTTCACTGACTTTGGCTCCGTCTGCAGCGCATTGGTGGTCCCTTCCTTCCCCACAGCCACTTCAGCCAGCCTTGTTTTTGGAAAAGAGTCTCGCCCAAGGGAGACTTTAGCCCAACAAAAGGCAGAATGCCAACCGCTGGCACGGGGCCCCTGAAAAACAACAACTCACACCTCCCTTGTGTGCAAATCCTGTCAGTCATCGGCAAGTCATCGGAATGTTTCCCAGTCTGCGGACCTCTGACCTCCGGAGAAAAGATTTCCAGAAAAGCAGGTTTATCAGCAAACACAGAACGGCCACGAGACAGAAGGAAACATCTGCCTCCTCTTTCTGCCTGCCGGAAAACTTCTCCCTTCTCGCGGGTCACACATGGACCGAGAGGTTTCTGCACAGCCCTAAATGGCACGTGGGATGGACCCCTTTGGATATGGCTCAGGCAGGTCGGCCTGGTGACAGATGGGGAGAGCCATCGGGCTACGGGGATTATGATGACCCATAACTGGGGGGCTTTGGGGTGGAGGAGGAGGAGGAGGAGGAGGAGGCTGTCTAACTGATGCTCTCGGCATCTTCACAAGCATCCTACACATAGCTCACAGCCTTCACTCCTTCTCCCCACACCTGAAGGTCACAGCTGAAAAGCGCTGCGCGCAGGTGCACAGCATTTTAAAACCCTCTTTTTTCCTGCTTTTTCAACCTCAGCTGTGCCGCGCAAAGCAGCCGAGGTTGAAAAAGCAGGAAATAAAGGACAGGTAAGAGCCCAGGTGGGCAGGCGGGCCAAACAGCAGCAAACACAGAACTGGTTCTGTGTCTGCTACTCTTCAGAGCTACCGGTTCAGAACCGGTAGAATCCCACCCCTGGCTCTTACCCAAAGGGGGCACCCCAAAGATCCTCCTTTCTAAGAAACTTAATGACACATCATGTCAGGTGAGCTCCATCCTCTCCTGGGTCTCTTCCTTTCTCTCCGACGGCCTTCCAAAACACAAGGAGGCCTTTTATACGTGAGAGAACTCAGGTGCAACCTGGATGCTCAGCCCAGAAGGGTCTATTTCGATTCGCCACCTGCATCAAAACATCCTTCCGGACTTAGAATGGACAACTTGCCAAGCCAATTGACTGTGGCCAACTCGCCACAGGATAACTCCCTGCGGGACAAGAGTTACACTAAAAATCAAAGAAATGGTGGAAGAGGATAATTGAAGAAAGGGTGCAAAAGGAGGGAAAGAGTGAAATGGGAATGGCAAAAGTTTTAAATTTGTTTTAAATAACTAAATAGCGTTGTTAAATTGTTCTTCAGCAAGTTCTCCCAGGGTGAGTTGTCCATCAATGAGTTGGCCATGGGAAGTTGGCCACAGCAAACTGGCTTGACAAGTTGTCCTGTTTTTGAGTCCGGAAGGATGTTTTCATGCACGTCTGCAAATCGGCCGTAGGATTATTCCAGGGCAGCCGTGCTGATTCTGGCCCTTACACCCTCTGCTCAGAATGAGACCTCACCAAGGCCAAACTTGGCCTCTCTTGGCACCAACAGTGGAAGAGAGAAGAAGAGAAGCCACAAAAAAAAAAGTGGGGGGGAGAGAAAACAGGCCCCAAGATCTGCTTAGCAAAGGCCAGACAGCAGGTGCCCTGGAGGTGGGTGGGGAGAGGAGTTCAGGCCTGCTGCCTGCAGGGAACCCCCCCCCCCCCAACTCTTCATTCAAAGCCAGCCTGTCATTTCTGAGACTCGCTGGGGAAAATATCGACGTTCGCCGTGGGAAGCTGCCACCCAGATCTGCACCTGTCCTACATGGATTTTCACGCTGGTGGTGAAAAGAGAGGCGGTGCCTTGGAAACCTGGCTCCCTTCCTCCCGAAAGAGCGTTATGTGGGGCCAAGCCCCCCCCCCCCCCATTTTTACACCCCATCCAGACATCTTCAGATCAATCCATTCACACTATTTGACACTGCTTGCAAAGCTCCTGTTGAAATAACACAGGCCGTGCCAGGGGTGACTTTGCTCTAGCACTCAGCCAAAGCCCACCCACCCCCCAAACCATCTGCAGACCCCCTTAGAGAACCCCTTTAGGGATCCTGGGAAAGCTGCAAGGCACCTGCACCTTCCCCAGATGGCTGGAGGAGGCTAAGAGTCAAGAGCCAGTCAGAGGAGGAGCCAAACTGGGAAGAGATTGGATTTTTTCCACCCAGGGAAAGCACCATGCTTGGGATGGTCCCAAAACAGCCCCTCGTGGAGGGGAAGGATGCGCTCACTAACACTGAAACCAGCCAGAGGCGGGGAACGTTTCCTGTCCAAAAAGGAAGGCCGCTTCAAGACAATGGACTGCACAGGACAGAAGGGGCGGAATTGGCGGAATTGCCTTCCTCCAGGGCCAAACTCAAAGCAGCTCTGCCCAACAACACCCCCCCCCAACTTCACCCCTGCCAGGGAGACCCTCGGAGGGCAGTGATCCCAAAACTCTCAGAGGAAGGGGTTCACCTTTAACCCCCCCCCTCAAGTTTGCTCAGCTCTTGCTCTCAGCTTTTCCCAACTCCGCCGCCCCCAAACTGTCAGCCCCCAAACAGCCTTGCCGGGGCTGAGTCAGAGAAGCGTCACCCACCAGCCACTCAAAGTATCTCGAGAGGATCCCCTCCCCCATGTCACCCATCTCATCCTTGACAAGACCCCCCTCCCCAAACACAACCAACCAGACCGCACTTTTCAGCCCTGGGGGGCAGGGGGCGGAGAGAGAGGAAGGCCAAGCAAGGCTGCAGGAGCTGCCCTGGGTTGAGCAGCCCCCCACCCACCCAAACCTCCAGGGTGGCCCAGAGGGGGCCCTTCCCCTCCCTGGATTATCTTCTAGCACAAACTCTCCAGAGATTGGATGGGGGGGGGGGGGGGGATGAAAGTTGGCACGAGCTTTGAGAAATGATGTCATGGGAAGGTGGGGACAGCTCTCTGGCCACTGGCTGGCTGACCACCTCAAGGCAGGGCTGCTGTGGGGCAGGAAAAGGTGGCCCAGACGGGGCCAGCGAACCCCCAAAGCGTTTCAAGGGGCAACAATTGACACGGAAGGAGCCCTTGGAGGAAAAAAAGGGGGGGAAAGCAGGACCCTAACAGCTGGGGAGCCCCGTTTCAAGGCAAAAAATTCGGGAAGCAGAACCCGCGGGGTGATTAAAGGCGGCGGAGGGAGGGGGGGCGCCTTTGGAAAGGACAGCCTGCATACGGTCTTCCGCATGCTTTGGACTATAGTTCCCATCATCCCCGGGAGGAGACCCAGGAAACGGGCAGGACAGAGGAAGAGGGGGGGAGGCCGGGGCCAGAGGGCGGGGCGGGGGGGGGGGTGAAGAGGCTGCGAGAGCGTTGCGCTTGCCCGCCCTCCACTCCCTCCCCCCGGGGGCCGTTGGCTGGAGGCGATGGGAACCGAAATCCTCGCCCGCAGGGAAGGCGTGGAGGTGGGGGGGAAACCTCCCTGGCCCATGCTCCGCAGCCCGGGGAAGGGCCGTGGCGCGCTTACCGCCGGGGTTGGCCAGCAGTCCCCAGGCGCCGGGCGGCGGCAGGAGCAGCAGCAGCAGCAGCAGCAGCACCGTCGGGGTCGGAGGGACTCGGGGCAGGCAGGGCCGGCGGCGGGCAGCGGCGCTCATCCTTCAGCGGCTGCTTCCTCGGGGGAGCATCGCAGCAGCAGCGGCGCCGCGCAAGAAGGCTGCGGCACCGGAGGCGAGCGGGGCGCTGGCGGAGCTGGGGCGGGGCGGGCAGGGGCGGGCAGGGGGCCGGCCAATGACGCCGCCCGCCCCGAGGCCTCCTCCCGCCCGCGCCGCCCACCTGCCACACCGGCAGCAGGTGCGCGGGCTGGGGCGGCTGCGCGCGGAGCCACCGCCTGGCCGGGGTCGCCTTGAGCGCGCCCCCTCCTCAAACCACGGTTGCCTCCGCCTCGAACCACGCTTATGCCCTTGCTCTGCCGATCGCTGATCGTTTGCTGTGCTCTGTTGCGTTAACGGCTGCTGCAAACCACGATTCCCGATTTAGCATCCCCAAGAAGGGCTAATTCAGCACCACGGACTCTCGGGCCGGGGCCATCCGGCTCACCTGGGCGCGCAAGAGGAAAGCGGCGGGGAAGATTAGCCCGCAAGAAGCGCCGGAGCCAATGGAAACCACGGGAGGGCTTAAGGTGCTCCCCGCTCCCCAAGGACGAGCGCCTACAGCCCCCCGATTCTCCCGGAGGGCGCTACCTCCAGACGCCCGGCCGATGGTTCACTGCTCGCCCTCGGAAAGCCAGCCCTTGCGTAGGATAGCAAGCCAGGTGCTGGGCACAAGAGGGCACAGCTGCGATTGCAGAATAAACCAGGATCATACAGGTCAGCCACCTGGGGCACAGCTGCAATTGCAGAACAAACCAGGATCATACAGCTCAGCCACCCGGGCAAAAGAGGGCACAGCTGCAATTGCAGAACAAGCCAGGATCATACAGCTCAGCCACCCAGGGCATGAGAACAAACCAGGATCATACAACTCAGCCACCCCGGGCACTGGACCAGGACACCATCAAGCACTGCAAGTTGTTTCCACCAAGAGGTCAAAACCTTCCCAATAAAATGGACCAACCAGGCCAGTCGCTACGCGAGTTTTTATTATGATTTCTTTAAGGCAAGCATCACTTCGTTTTCTTTACATGGAAAACAGACAGAGTACAATCTGGAACCAGACTTGCAAAGGCACCAAAGAAAAGCACAAAGAAATACACGCTGGTGGGATTGGAGGATCGAAACAGGAGGCAGGGAACACCCTTCCCATCACACATCACTCTTTCCCATTTGCAGTTCTGGAGGTGTTTTTCTGCCCACCCCAAATATATATATATATTTTTACCTTGATAGTGCAACAATATTAAAGTCTCCCATATATTTATTGCAGAAGCCAACTGTGGGAGACTTTAATATTGTTGCACTATCAAGGTAAAAAAATACCAAAAAAAACACCAAAAACCCCAACCCCTTCCCAAATCCTGGATAGTTGGTGGTGTTTTGTTTTTTTAATATTATACAACAGTGTGCCATTAAAATAAAAACAGTTATCCTGACTTCATCTCAAATTCACACAATGTGGGGCAGGAAACAGCTGTCACCAGTGCAAACTTCTGCTTGGAAATAAAATCTCATTACTTTCTGTGTGTGAATTATTCCTAGGGAAAATAATGGGAAATTGCAATTTTGCAGCTTCTATTCCTCAATCCCTTGGGCAGGAATTGTCTACTTTGGACATCTCTCCTTTGAATGTTAATCATTTGCGTCTGACTGTGTTTAGGTATATTTTTAAGGTTGCCAGAGGAGCGGTCCAATAGGGTTGCAACACAACTAGCAATCGTTTTGTACAATCCTGGCAAATCCAGAAAGGACAACTTTTCTATATGTGTATGGAAGAAATGGAAGGACCCAAAACAAACTCAAAAATATAAATTCAACTTTGGATTATTCTTAATTCCTGAAGGAGACCTAGTTTGAAAGGTTTAGTCTCGTGGATGAGTGTGACACCCAGGAGTGCAAATAACACAGAGACTCAGGGGTTTTTTGTTAGGAATATAAGTCACCTAACAGGTATTTGGGTTAGAAATATATAAACCAGGATAGACATTTTAATACTGTCTCTTTAAGGGAATGCAAGAGCATGCAATTGGGTGTGGTTTCTCAAACGGCCATAAGATGGAGCCAGAAACCTGGTTTGTTTAGTCTGAGTCTCAGAAGGGAGTGTAAGTGTATCTCTGTTTCCTTCTGTTGGAAATTATATTGCCTGCTCCATTTCTTCTAATTGACTGATATTACTGGATTTAATGTAAGTCTGATACTGAACTTTTTTTTTGACACTGGAATTTGATATTTGGATTATCCCTGGATTGAAAACGGACTGATTTTACCTGTGAATGACTTTTGGACTGCTTACTTTGGACTTTGCTTAAACCTTTCTGGAAGTAAAAACCTACATTTACTGTACAGTGTATCTGTGTGCTCTGTGTGTATTATTCCAACACTACTCTCAAATACGTCTCCCTGTATGCGCTCATTCTCCTAACGGGGAATTACCTCAACAGGTTTGCAGGAAGAAAGGAAGTTGTCTCCTAACTTCTGGAAAAAGATTTGGAAAGAAAGATTCCCAACAGTTAAGTTAGGCACTCAGACTCCCTCTCTGCCAAGGAAAACACCAAAGGAGGCCTTGTTCCTGCAACGTGCTTTGATTTAGGGGGGTCAGTAGAGGATGTGTGTGGGTGAGAAGTGGATCTCTCGTTGATCTACTAAGCGGAGAAGGAGAATTTTTGTCTCAGCGACAGAGCTAATGGCAGCTTGCTGGATTTCCGTTCCCCCTAAAAGAGGACGTCTCCAAAAGCCAGACCTGGTTTGTACAGGAAAGGAAGTCCTGCCATTGTGCATCAGTCAGAAGTCCACAAAAGACCACTCCCCAAAGTCTGAGGCTCAACTGGAACAATTTGTCTAAGTGCTAGGACCACACATACACCCTCCCCACCCCCCAGTGAAAGAGTCCAGTAGGCACTGGGCCCCGTTAAAGTTTCCGTAGCAAACACCTTTGCTCTTTAAGGGACCCCCGTTTTTGAAGGCAGCTGGGGGAGGGCATCACACTTTCTGATGTCCGTAGTTAAAAAGAAAGAGATGCATGGCAATAATTCCTACCAGGGTCCTTTGTCCTGGGGGTGGGGGCAGCGTCTCGTTGGGTCAAGAGCTTTGGATGGGCCCTTGGCTACAAATTCCTGAGTCTAGCAACAAAGCAGGACAAAGGGAAGGCCTGGGGGGGGGGTCAACAGAAGCTTTCCCTGTCAATGGCAGCACCTTTTTCTCGAAGTGGGGGTGACACAGGGGGGCGGGGGGGAAAGGCAGGAAATTGGGGGCGGGGCTGCATACGCCCAGGATCCGTGCGAGGCACCGTCTGCTCCCCCCGCGCAGAATTGGCTCTTCCGTTTGTCTTGATTTCTTCCTTCCTGAGGTTTGGCAAAAGGCTGGAGTTCCCAGTGAAAGACCAGGGAAGGCGGGAAAGGAGAGGTCTTACACCGCCCCTCGGCCCTTGGAGGACTTCAGCAGGCAGAAGATGCTGACCAAGCTGCCCAGGAGGACGGCGACGAAGAGGAGGACGAGGCCAACCCAGGGGCCGAAGCTGGTGCTCTTCCGGAAGCTGGCCTCTTCCGCCGGGATCATGTTGGTGAGGTTCAGCATGTAGCCCAGCGCCCAGCCGATGGTCGTGTCCCCAGCCTGCAAAAGCAAAAAAAAAAAAGCCGCCGTTGCACAAAGTTTCCCCCTTTCGGCTTGCGTGCCCCAATCCAGCAGCTGTTCTCAGGACCCACGGCTGACCCCCATCCACTGCAGAAGCGCCACCACCCCCCGCCCTGCGAGCCTTACCTTCTGCTGGAAGGCTATGCTGGGAAAGGTGGTGTTGCTGAAGGAGTAGCCCCGGGTGAGCAGCAGCGAGACGAAGGTGGCCATCGAGCAGTAGTTCTGCAAAAAGGGCTCCAGATTTGGCTCCTTCCTGAGCAGCTGGAGTGGCAGAAAGAAATGCCCAGGCTGAGTTTAGGCCTTTGAAAGAGCAGCTGCTTTCTCTCTCTCTCTCTCTCACACACACACACACTGTATTTCCTCCCCTTTCTGATGGAGATAGAAAGATTATTCGCAGGCACACACAAACACGCCACAAATTATGCGGAGCCGCAGTGGTGAGAGTGCAGTCCTGCAGGCTACTTCTGCTGACTGTGCCGGCTGCCTGCAGTTCAAATCCCACCAGGCTCCAGGTTGACTCAGCCTTCCGTCCTTTCGAGGTGGGTCAAACAAGGACCCAGATTGTTGGGGGGCAAGAGGCTGACTCTGTAAACCGCTTAGAGAGGGCTGTAAAAGCACTGTGAAGCGGTGTATAAGTCTAAATGCCAAGTGCTATTTATTCCACGTTCATTCCAAGGTTCCTTCTCCTCCTCCTTCTCTTTCTTCTCCTTCCCCTTCTTCTTCCTCTTCTTCTTCTTCATCATCATCATCATCAAATATGCAGTCATAGACCACCTTGGAGGGTTCATCTGCAATTCATTGTTAGCCAGGCCATATTTTGAGGGGTTCCTTCTCCAAATCCTCCTGGGCATCCTCCGGTTTTCTTCCTCTCGACTTATCCTTAATAGCTGAGCCATTTTTCTCCAGTTTCATTGACGGACCTTTATTGATGGATCATGTCCCAGCCCACATTCCTCTGACAAAGGGCAATGAAGCACATTTGGTCTTTTCTGCACCCAGGCATGTGGCTGGAAACCAGGCTCCTTTGAGATATGAACTGCACTCCTCTCCTTCTTTTGCAGCTGCTTCAAGGAAATCTCCCTGATTCCATCTTCCCCTTTTTAATTCTCACCACAGACTTGTGAGGTAGACCTGGTTTGGAGGTTTGGACCACATGACCCACCCCTAAAGCTACCAGCCCATGAACCACTGCACTCTCCATTTCAATTCAAGGTTAAACCCATTTTTTTAAAAAAAGGATTTCAGGTTTATGTTCCGGGGTGGGTGGGTGGGACTAGTGATGACTAGCTGAAAAAATTTGGCCCTGGTTGAAGGAAGTGAAGGAAGATCCAGGGGGAACAAACCCACCTCACTCCACGGGGTGGTACAGATAGCCTCCGCGCCTTCTTTGAGGTCTTTTGGAGTAGCTACCTGTCTCTCCATCACTGACCGGAGGAAATCCACCGTGTAGAAAAACGAAGAGAAGGCCTTTAAGGGAAGAAGAAGAAGAAGAAAAAGACAGAATGAAAAATTTGCTTAAGATCCTTAAAGTGGTATTACCAACGGGGCCAATACAACTCATTTTTAAACAGTCAAATATATAGGATAATATATCTCAAATATATATATATTTGTTATTGGATTATCCCTGGGTTGAAAACTGACTGATTTACTTGTGAATGATTTTGGACTACTTATCTTGAACTGGAAGTAAAAACCTACATTTACTGTACAGTGTATCTGTGTACTGTGTGTGTATTATTCCAACACTACTCTCAAATACGTCTCCCTGTATGCGCTCATTCTCCTAACGGTGAATGACCTCAACAGAGCTCCCACAACTTCATTGCTTCAGTTCCAGGAGATGCCCCATGACACACACACACACACCCCAAGCCCAGCCGTCCGCGAGACTCACGATAAAGTTTCCCTGCACGGGGGGCTGGAAGACCCCGTCAAAGGAGCAGCTGGAATAAGGGCAGTCCGTGAACCGGAAGAGGCTCTCTGCGTGTGCCAAGCACTGGGCAGGGTCTCCAGAGCCGCTCATGTTCACCATGGCCATGGGGAAATAGTTGGAGGGCTTCTCGGTGCGGGTGCAGGGCGACCCGTAGATGCTTTCCATGGGGAAGCTGCGCTTGAATCCCTGTGGCCAGCAGGGGTTGTCCAGTCGGAGGGCGTAGGCGCTAGCCTGCGATAGGAAAACACAGGGGAGGGGCTGGTGAAGCAGAAGAGAAGGGTAACCTCCCCCACAAGCCCTCACCAAGATGGGGCTTGGGCCCCTTTCCCCCCATTGCAGTTGAGGGGCCCCTTTGCAGCACCCACCTTCGGGAACGTTCTAACCTGAGGGAGCCCCTCCCAGCCGAGGGGCCCCTATAAACCCCCAGCCTTGGTCCCTGCACCACAACCGCCCACCGGGGGTGTACTGTTATGCCCCTGTTGGAATCTGATTCAGAGGGGGAGGTGGAGCAGCTGACAGGGAGTGGGAGGGTGGCTCTGTTGGCTGGGGAAGAAACTGGGAAAGGGCAAAGTCCGGCTGGGTAGAGCAGGGAAAAGGTAGAGCAAGGGAGAGGCGGTTCAGAGGAAGACCCAGACCCCTCTTCATCCTAGGGCATGGAGGGAGGAACGGAAAAGGGAGCAATGTGAGTTGCGTGGCTTACAAGGGAGGAAAGGGCCCTGATTCCCTTCATTAGCTGCAGCAGGGAACACAGTTTAAAAAGGGAAGCTGCTTGTTGGGAGCAAATCATGAATTATCTGGTATCGTTGAGGCTTATCTGGGTTCCTGGCATCTTCCCAAAACTGTGTGTTTTGCCGGGTTTTCAAGTCTGCAATTCCTTCTCCTGCCCTGTCAAGTTAGTTACTGCAGAGTCATTTGTGTGGATTTTTATTTACAGTTTGTATGTACTTTGTTTTTGGACTGAATTTCCTCCACTTAAAGACTGTTCTTGGGAGAGTTTTTATTCCAGCCGAAGGTAACCTGGACATTGGGGGCAAAGTTGGAGGTACTAAAGGAACTCTTCTTGCTTATTTGACTGGGTTGCCTTTGGGCCACGCCCCTTTGGGTCATCACAGGTACCTTCAGAATCTTGGAGGTCAGCCGGTTGAGGATCTCATTCATGCCGTAGCAGAGGAAGCTGTGTGTGTAGACTTTGTAGTACTGCCCGTACAGCTTCAGCGTCACCTGGTTGGAGGGGCTCTCGATGGCCCCCGTGGTCTCGAAGGTGATCTGGGTGGAGGCCCCACCCAGGTCCATGGCCCCCACTGTGCTCTTCTTGGGGCGGATCCAGCGCCCGATCCAGCCGTACTGGGAAGAGAAGATGAAGGATCAGGGGACGGCATGTAGGCACAGAGGAGGCCCTGGGGATCAGAGGAAGGGTCGTATGTGGAGAGAGCACCCAGGAATGGATGGAATGGACACGAGCGTGAGGAATATGAATTCTGATTTAAAAAAAAAAAACATTTTCTCTTGCCTTCATTTCTGTGCCTTGAGCAGCCTTGCTCCTTCCTGTCCCTCTCTAAGAAGGAGGGAGGGAGGGTGCTACCTTGAACTGCTCCGCAACAGGAAAGCGGTTGGAACTGCACATTCTTAGCAAGCAAGAAGTTAGCACCTTAAACCACTAGCCAAAAACCACACAGCTGGCAGATTAAACTAGGACACTTTGCAAGATACCCGTGACCTGGGGAGAAACACAGGTGATGCGACATTTAGCTATGTAGGGGACTGAGATCTAAGTAACCAATCAATGTTATCTGTTTTGCATGCATTATTAGGGGAAGGGGAAAGGTTGTATGCAACCACCCCTTGACTATAAAAATTGCTGAAAAGATTCTCACTTAGGCCCTTTGAAGTTAGCTTTCGAACCAAGGTCCTTATATCTTGGTACCAAAATAAAAGCATAATTTTGTACCACACCTTGTGTCCAGTGACTTATCGGCTTCTACACCAAGCAAGAGACCAGTTTTGGGGACAACAAAGACAAAGCGGGCCTTCTGTGATGTCATGAAGCTGAGCCAATGGCCAACCGGGCTGTGATCCTGCGCTGACCAACGGCACAAGGCTCGGAGGAAGAGCAGCAGACTTTCCGTTTTGCAAACAACCCCGAGGAAACGCGAGGCGGTTCTACCTTGACGAAGTTCTCCAGGAGGTAGTTAGCGGTGACCCACCCGAACAAGCCTTCGTCCTCTCCACTCAGGATCCTGGCTCCCCGGAAGTCAAAGGGGTATTTCTTCAGCATGGAGGTCACAGCTTCCAGGACGCTGTCTGAAGCCTGCGAGTTAGAAATGCTACACAGACACACACACAAATAATGAAACGCTTTGTGACTTGAGCTAGGCCTAGGGTTGACTCTCCTTCCCTCTCTCTCTCCTTCTCCCTCTCCCTCTCACCCTCTCTCTCCTTCCCTCTCTCTCCCCCTCTCTCTCTCCCTCCCTCCCTCTCTCTCTCT